TGTAATTTTAAGCACAGTGATTAAGTGTTTTCTATTTCTCATTTAAGAGATTTGTTACATCAAATACTACAATGCTGCTGGAACCGCAAACATAATTTTTAATGTAAATTAATTGAACTCCAAGAATGCCTTGAGATAATATATTGTTGCAATTAAAAGCAATGTTTATCAGAATGTGTTGAAAACAATTTTGCCTATTAAAGGAGCTAAACAGCTATTTCACTATTGAGTTTTTTTCAATCTGCACTTTAAATGCGAACTTTCAACAGTCTCTGCTAAAAAAGGACGTCTTGCTTGTGAGGAAAAGAACACCTGCATGCTGTTTCGCCTGCTTAGAAGGCATAAAGTAATCAGAGTTAAATAGATAATCACTCACCTGTGGGAAATATTTACAGACTTTTAAGAGAGAAACTGGCAATATTGTTGAAACTTAATTATCAGCTTTAAAAAATTATTCCATTCAGTTGTTCTGCTGGACACTGTATATGTCTGTGAAAGACGTGCCAGCTGGCAGCTATGCTGATTTTTTTGTCATGATGTTTTTGACACGGAAACAGTTTTGGCTCTTTTCTTGAAACAGCTGCCTACTTGAGAATATCATTTGATGCCAGACCTAAGACCAGTCTTAACCACTAATTGCAGAGCTGGCATCACACCAGTGGGAGCACAAGTTGTCTGTGTTGACTATGTAACAAAGACATTAATATAATGTGCTGATCACTGATGTGAAATATCAAACTGCTTAAAGCTCCTGGTATTCAGCTTGTATCCAAGTTCGTTCATTAGCTAAGGTTGCTATTGTCCTTGCCTCTGTTCTGCAGTTCTCTTGATATCACAAAACAATATGGAATACATGATACTGAGCAAGTGTAAAGACAGAAGAAACAAACTGTTCTTTGGTATCTACAGGAAGAAACAAGGGTTGCATCTGAAGAATGTCTAGAATTCCAGGAAAGAAATCTGAAACACGGGTAATTAGAAAACAGCAAGGGGAATAATAAAAAGCAGTCACTTCAGGACTGATCATACAAAGTGATTACTAAAATTCTCTTGCAGTGACTCAGAAAAAACAAAACTAGAATAAATAGCTGTTAAAAATGATTAATCGTACTCAAATTCTGTGAAGCTATTTAGATTTATTAAAGGAACAAGTGGAGAGACAGATGGTTGTTTTTCTGTCTTGATTGTAACAATATTTTTCTTCTTGATGCTGGTTGCAGCTATCTTTTGCTGACTTGTAAAAGGATGACTGTCCCTTGCCCTTTTTCCTATCTATACAACACCTTTATCTTAGCTGGGATACTTCCTGCAATGTAAGAATGTCTGCACTAGAATTTGTTTGAGGTTAATTTGTGGAAAATTTATCTGAGGTACTGGAATGAAATGTGTGCGATTAGTCCTTCCAATAGAGAGCAAAACAAGCACAGCTATAAATACCACTCAATAGTTGTCACCGGTGCCTGTTAAAAACAGAGTTGCAGAGGACAACAGAGGAAGGCAATAAGTGCATATGCATAGAATGCTAATCTAGAAACATTTTAAAAATGCATTAACAGACGTACACAGAAGAATTTTACACCAGGTAGGAAGTCTAAAATGTACAAAACCTAAAGCACTAACCAAAATCTACTAAACCTCAAGGATTTTTATTGTGTTGATTCTACACAACCTTGTAGACACTTTCATGCTTGCGCAGCTTTAGTCACTTGAGCTATTCACGTGAAGATTTGTAAGGAAGGTTAGGTGCACACAAAACTACTTGGAGGACTGGTGTGTTAGTGAAGGATCCAACCATCCTCAAGGTGGACACAGAGGATTTAGGTTTCTTTACTGCTATTTATTGATTATAGTGCTATACAGCTATTAACTATGCTCTTCCCCCAGTAATATATATTGTTTCTAAGACTGCTGGGTTTTTTATTCATCAAGAAATCTTGTCTTGTGCTGGAAATATTCCCTTTCATTCTCTTCCTGTCCCCTTTGCAAAATATTGCACTGGAGCTCAAAAGGCCTTAGCACAGTTTTGATTTTGTCCTTTGTCAAAGGAAGTGATCCCTTGCTTGCCTTGCCTGGTACTACATTCCCTTTACTGAGTGCACAGTTGATTTGACAGCTGGTATTTTAGCAGAGTTAAACAGAGCTCCTGGATTTTGAAGGTAAGTCCACCATAAATTAAACTACCTGACAAGGTCTAAAAAGAACATATTTAATGAGTTATTTGTGTTACATCAAAGTTAGTGTAGCTGCAAGAACAGATTAATTGTAGACTTAAATTCAGTATGTGATAAAAGTTGCAGCATTGCATTTTGCTTAATCCCAACAGGGCAAAAATGGTCGACAGCTCAGATGTACTATTTCCAGCTCTTGTGCTGATACAACTGAAATTTGTGATCAGTATTTTGTTATTTCCTGCCCTAACTTCTCTGCCAAGAATACATCCCAAGTAAGAGTTTCAGAGATCTACAGCCTCAAAGTGCCATCTTTGCTGGCTTTAAGGCTGACCATTCCTCTTCCACAGAAATGAGATACACATCAGCTGAAGAAACTGTAGAGTCCTTCAACCACAATGAATTAAATACCAGTCAGTGATTTAAAATAAAAGCTCCTTTACCCCTTGAAATGTGGTAACATTCCAAAGTATTTCAACACCTATTTCCAACCATTGGTCTTGAACTTTCCACATAGCAACAGCATCGATATCCATACGAGCAGAAAGCACAGCAGAATTTCACCCTTTCAGAAGTAACCTAGCAGTACTTCAGGAAGTCGTGTACAGGTAGTCCTTTCTTCAGATTTGAAGGAAAAGCATTCATATTAGGTAGCAGAATAAAGAGCCACATTATACTTGTTTTCCTTTGTTGACCAAAAAAGGGCTCAAAGCTTTTTTTTTTTTTTCAGCTCAGTACAATGCTAATTGTGGGAGGAAAAAAAAAAGCTGAGATAAGTGACTAAGGAATATATCTAGGAAATAAAAAACAAAACAAACCAAACCCAGATGTACAAGACTTTTTGACCTTGGATTAGCTGCAAAATATGTTCCCACCAGAATTGTCTTTCTGCCACTTACATGAGCTGTGATAGTGTCCTGTCACAAACCAACAGGAAAGTAGAAGGAAAACGCTGTGAGGTGAGGGCCTGCAACATTCCCTTGTGTGTGTGTGAGGTTCCAAAGTTACCATTGTTTTCCATTCCAGGCTGGCCATGTTTTAGCTGGAAAACAGTATTCAGCTCTAAGCGTGGACTGAGAAGAGAGAGAAAGGCTGATGAGAAGTGAGGAAACCTGACGTGTAAGGACAAGTTGATAAAATTGTGTTTGTTTGGCCTAGCAAACAGGAGGCGAAGGGAAGATTTCAGTCTGGAGCAGAGGCAGTGACAAAACAGGACCTGGGACCAACCAGTTGTCTGTTCTTATGGCTTTATGCTTCTGGAACGGCTTTCAAGCAGGTGCTCAAAAAGATTTAAAAGCTGTTATGAAGACAGTCTCCTTTCCCACACCCAGAGCAAGTAGCAATAGTCATGGAAAATTTTTTGTTTTGCCTGAACAAGAGCTCTTTAGTTGATCAAATTAATATAAACGACAGTGATTAGCTAAGCCTTGTCCCCCAGCCTGTTCAATTTATTTATGCAAAAGTGATTTAAGGGAGAAATTAATGTCTCTTCACTGGGAGTTACATGACATTAATATTTATTATTATAAGTACCCTGTAACTCAATCACTATTTATTTCACTAAAATCTACGTATGAAGTCACGTGCCTGTTAGCAAGTCGGCTATTGGGAAGATGGATAGCAAAAGAGACTGAATTAAAGAGCCTCAGGGATTATCTCCAGCCTCTACACTGTTTCTGTGAATTCTAAAAAGAAAAGAAGGCGCTCCTACATTTTTGCTTCTCTGCAGATCATGTTTGGTCATCTTCTCTAAAATACACCTAAAATTCTTTCCATCTTTATTAAAAGGCAATCTTTATCATGTGAGACTTCTG